ATATATAAACATATAATTCCTAGGTTTTAATCTTACAGTTTTTAAATCCAGTCCTATTGATCCCATAAAGAACGAAGGAGGAACTTCAGGAATACCGAGACTTTTCCAATAACCATACTTCCTTGTTAAAAAGCTATAATATTAATAATAATTTAAGTGTTTATTTGTTTACAAAACTTAATGTAAAAAATTTAATGTTTGTTTGTGTTTTACAATTTTTTTAATCAAAAATTTGTGTTTTATACACGAAATTTATCGCTTTTTAATTATATTAATTCTCAATTATTTCAATCAAGATATAGCAAAAATTTTATAATAAATTGTCTAAAAGATATATTTAATATATCAGATAATTATTAAAAATATATATCTGTATAAGTGAAATTTATTTTAAATTTTTCCTTAAGTGATAACGGGGAAAAAGTGAAACAGCGTAGTGTATTCGTTCTACTCATCATTCATTTGACCTATATACACATCAATTTTTTTCTATACATTTAGATGTCTTACTACCTTTTGTTTATTAAAAATAAATTTAAATTATATACCGTACATTAAATTAAACAATAGAAATTTCAACATAAAAAATTTTAATGTATTAATCTAATAAATAAGTTAAAATTAACCAAACTACGTATCTCTTATGCTAAAATAAATACGTATTTTGTAGCATCTTAGGCTAAACTAAGCTAGTTAAAAGTAAATATCAAGAAATATAAGGACGAAACTTGAAAATAAAGTAAACAAATTAATGAAGGAATTCCAGTTTAGTGTATTATTAAATAAAATTAAACGTCACGATTATATTAAAACTTGATTATATGTTAACAATCTTTTGTCTAATTAATATAATATTTTATATAAATTTTTACTTGTAATATCATTAGATTTAATCGTAACGTTTCTAATTATGTACTGTTAAAGTAAAGTTTAATCAATTACTTACAGGTACAAGGCCAAAATTATCCCCAAAAGAAACCATGCAAAGAAAGAGATACTGAACACAGCCATTTTGAAATCTAAAGTAAACGTCCTTCGACGAAATGTATACTGATTTTACCCGCCGACAAGGTATTTTACATTAAAATTCATCAGCGTGATATCATTTCAAGACGAAGCTATATCATAGAAGCGACATTTTGCGTTACACAGATGATTATTTTAATTTATTCGTTAACAATGACTAACTCTGACTTACGAATAAGCATTCTGATATATTTTCCAGGAAACTCTGACGTATTAAAAGTATATACGTCATTGTAATGATGCAAACTACCATTGATACTTTTAAAAATAGATTTAAAGACTTACAAACCTCATAATATATTACAATTATAGCTTCATTAAATGCCATTTTTCCGTAAATGTGTATGTTTTTATAATATTAATGGCTAGTTTATTTACGCCTAATGAAATTAATAACTTAATTGAAGGCGATTAAAACTTTAAAATAATTCTATATATATTTAAAATTATTATTTTATAAAATGTAAATTTAAATATACTCTATTTTAAGCACATTTATTCAAGTTGATAAAATCGTTGTTTATTTAACATATATATTTATTTATATTTTATTGAGGGTATATTTCTAGAAAAATATAATTTGCAATTAATTATAATCAAATTAACCTTTTATTAATTTTGTAATATTAAAAAATTTTAGTAAAATATTTTAATTTACAATTTTATTAAAAAAAATCATATGTTAATTATAATAAAGATGCGATATTTCGATTATGTTATTTAATATTTAAAAACAATTGTATAATTTTATTTTTAAATTTAAAACGAATGTTTTATAGCTAAAGAGGATATTTTTCAAATTTTCCTTATTATGTAATAAGTTAATAAATTATTGCATACGATTTGTTGCGAAGAACAATTCTATTAGAACGTCATTTTTTTATTGCCTAGGGATAAAGGTATATGTTTTTTTTACATAGACAGGTATTATAAATGTTATGTAAGTGAAGAGTAAAATTTTCCTAAGTAATTTTGTAAAGGTAAACAATTATTTTCTTACATTTAAATAAAAATAATAATTTGAATGGTGGAAATAAATGTTTATATTTTATATACACTTATTAACTACATATACACAAGAAATAGATGAATAATATATATTATGCATAATATAAATACGTAGATATATTATAATCATACAGCAGTATTATATATTATTTTTACTATCAATGCTTAAGGAAATTCATATACTAGACAATCGCGTTTATGCTCCTAACATAAACAAAAGAATTGAAATTTTATTCGGTTGCTCGAACAATTACCGATAAAATAAAGGAATTATATAATTTTTAAATTATAATTATAACAACTCCATATTTATTTCGTTATTTTCATTGTGTCACATTGCTTTATTTATTGATTATGTTTAATCGATAATTATTTACTTTTANTAATGAAATTAATAACTTAATTGAAGGCGATTAAAACTTTAAAATAATTCTATATATATTTAAAATTATTATTTTATAAAATGTAAATTTAAATATACTCTATTTTAAGCACATTTATTCAAGTTGATAAAATCGTTGTTTATTTAACATATATATTTATTTATATTTTATTGAGGGTATATTTCTAGAAAAATATAATTTGCAATTAATTATAATCAAATTAACCTTTTATTAATTTTGTAATATTAAAAAATTTTAGTAAAATATTTTAATTTACAATTTTATTAAAAAAAATCATATGTTAATTATAATAAAGATGCGATATTTCGATTATGTTATTTAATATTTAAAAACAATTGTATAATTTTATTTTTAAATTTAAAACGAATGTTTTATAGCTAAAGAGGATATTTTTCAAATTTTCCTTATTATGTAATAAGTTAATAAATTATTGCATACGATTTGTTGCGAAGAACAATTCTATTAGAACGTCATTTTTTTATTGCCTAGGGATAAAGGTATATGTTTTTTTTTTACATAGACAGGTATTATAAATGTTATGTAAGTGAAGAGTAAAATTTTCCTAAGTAATTTTGTAAAGGTAAACAATTATTTTCTTACATTTAAATAAAAATAATAATTTGAATGGTGGAAATAAATGTTTATATTTTATATACACTTATTAACTACATATACACAAGAAATAGATGAATAATATATATTATGCATAATATAAATACGTAGATATATTATAATCATACAGCAGTATTATATATTATTTTTACTATCAATGCTTAAGGAAATTCATATACTAGACAATCGCGTTTATGCTCCTAACATAAACAAAAGAATTGAAATTTTATTCGGTTGCTCGAACAATTACCGATAAAATAAAGGAATTATATAATTTTTAAATTATAATTATAACAACTCCATATTTATTTCGTTATTTTCATTGTGTCACATTGCTTTATTTATTGATTATGTTTAATCGATAATTATTTACTTTTAAAGTAAATTAAAACGGGAACATCGAGAATAAAATCGTAAATGCTTTGTCTAATTCTTATAAACAATTTCTATAGAAATACTTTTATCACAATTAACAATTGAACTAATATAGTACAACATTACAACAAAAATATTGATTTAAAAAATAGAGTACTCATTTTTTGTTTTTCAAAAATTGTTGAATAACAATGTGCAGTACATGTTTTCTGCATAATAATATATTTGGCTTGTATTAAAAATGACAATCTGAAGCAAAATAAGGATCGTTTCCATGCTTCACACAATCTTTACAGGAACATAAAGTGTTTCGCATCATAACAGAATTTTTGAATGTAGAAAAAGAAGCACTATTCTAATAACATACAAAGCGATTTGTCTAAACCTCATATATTACAAAAACTCTTTAGCATAAGCATTATTTCAAATAGTAAACCTTATCGGATAGCACTCACAAAATCCATTTTCTCTTATGAACAAAATTTTTCTGCTTTTGATCACTTCAACTTTCTCTCTTTATCATGAGCATCACGCGTAGTAAATGCCTTAAATCTCTATTTTTTTATTACTAAAATTTATTTTATTTGCATATTTGAAAAAAATAAAACTAGAAGATAATTATTTCTTTACTTTTTAATCGTTTTGAATGCTGTATTTCATGTATTTATAGAGCAATATCTATATTTTCAATATTTTACTGAACATTTCGTGTAATGAGGTTTTAAAAATGACTTAATATTGCATGTCGTGACAGCAATGTTTCACTATAAGTAACTTTTCCGACGTTACAAGTTACATTAGTAGTCCAAGTGAGCTCCATCTCCATTTTTATAAATTGATGTATGTAACAACGGCGCTCCCTTAAGCATGTACTACTATTACATTCGCGTCCTTTAACCTTTGTTTGAAGTTAAAATAAATGATTTTTTTCTTTTTGACCGATTCCTACTAAGATATATCAAACAATATACTCCAATATCGAACTTAAATTTATTATTTTATAGTTGTAAAATGTTTATATTTTAACAGAAAAATGTATAAAATGTGGGTTACAATGAAAAATAACTTAGTAATTTTCTTTTTGATAT